TTATTTACCCAACGCTACGATGCATGACCTCAATATAGCATGCCAAGTGGTTGTGTGGGGCAGCCAGCCAATGCAGTTGCCGCTGCCACGGCTGCTGCTCCTACATTTGCTGGCTCCAGCTATAGCTATGGCTACATCGTGCCTGCTACTCGTAACATGCTTTTAATGTGCGCCATTTTATTTGCCACAAAACCGACACACGGCACCATTAAAAAGCCATAAGCGCTGAGCCTCAAGCTTCGAGCTGCCGGCCTGGACTCGCGCTTAGACATTATTAGAACTTGCCCAACCACTCTCGTTCCCTCTCTCTTTCGCCTTTTGTCTCGCTCATATTGCTTCCGGCTTGCTCTGGTCATAAATTGTGCGCGCGGCTGCATTTTGATTACAATTTTTATGATTTTTAGGTCAAAATTTGCCAACATAAAATGGCCAAAAGTAAATTTGAAATAAATAAAGCGGCCCCAGGAATAGCAAAAACAACAGCAACAGCAATGGCAACGGCAACATCAACAATAACAACAACAATAAGCACAACAAAATGGTGTCGTGTTTTATGTGCGCCCTTTTTTGCTGCCCTAAAGGGCAACATGTGCTTGGAGACCAAGACGTCGAGACATGCTGAGGTCCGGCTCGGTTGGGTTCGTAAATGGCTTGGGCCTGGCCACAACAATGCGAGCTGGGTTTATTTATTTTCGGGCAGCATGTTTATAAGTTGCGAATTATTTTGGCTTTTGGCTCATATTTCATTTGCATTTAATGAGCCCTAAAGCGAATGCCATTGCCACTGCAGCAGCGATGGCTCGTAAAAAGTGTTTGCAAATTGAAATTTCAGTGAAGACCCAGTTCTAATGACAATGGCTAAGCAGGTGCCATACATTTAGTTTACCCGGCCGAAGCGCAATGATGCCAGAGTCGAACACCAACGTCCGAGGCCCCAAAAACTGTGCGTGCCAAGATAAGAGGCCCAGAAGATTTATTGCCAACGCAATGAGTTAAGAAAGACAAGTACCTAGGGCAAAAATACAACAACAAGCATTTCATGATGACGATGACGACTTTCTCTGTACAACACTAAACGAATCAGGCAACAGCAACAACAACAACAACAACAACGGGCAACGAAAACCGGAATAATAATGATGAAGCTGCCGCATACTGACAAACTAAATGATGGAGAATGATGCCAACGAGCCAAGTCGAGCCTGAAGCTGAAACAGAGAAGCAGCTCCATCTGCCTGCTTGTCTGATTGTTGCCTGAGCAGCGAGTGAGTGGAGGCTGATGGAGCGGCAGGGGAGCGGGGGCATCCGAAATCGGAAGGTTGGCAGGCAAATAATGGCTGACAGCGAATCGTTGTTGTTTTGTCTGCTGTGCGTGTGTTCTCTAAAGATTATTTCAAGATGGCGCAGCTTTTAAACATGTGCTTACACATAAAATACAAACATATATATACAGATATATACATGTACATATATATATGTATATGTATTATGTATTGCTTGTATACAAATGACAATGGCTTATAATGGTACAATTAATTATGACACGTAACAATTCTTTGACTTCGAAGCGCGTAAAAATTGTAAAGGAAAGTAGAGCTTAATTCTTTACTTTACTTTTATGTAATACTACTAAATAAATATAATACTATTTTCAGCATTAGACTTCTGTGAGTATCTTTATCTTTTTTAAACTTTTACTACTATTTCACTTAATGCAAACAGTTTCACTACGGCTCACCGTTCCTACTATTATTGCTACAACTTTCATCGACAGTACTGATGACACATTTTTACTATTATTATTCCTACTTCTAAAAATTCTTTTGATACTACTATAATAACTGCTGATATCTACTACTTTACCTACTACTACATTTTCAACTTTTACTTTTAAACCTACTACCACATCTACTACTTCACCCACTATTACATATACTACTACATAATTACAACATATACTACTACATATACTACTACATATATGTATTACTACATATACTACTACATATATTACTATATATACTTCTATATATACTACTACATATACTACTACATGTACTACTACATATACTACTACATATACTACTACATATACTACTACAT